ATAATTTGCCAATTACTACTGCAAGTTAATACCACTTTGTAAATTACTACCGCAAATTAAAAAAGTTGTGAATTACTACTGCAAAAAATTTTAAGATGTTACGATTACTACCAAACCCTCATTAAACCCAACTATGAGGTCATTATATCCCTTTAACCCGTGATTGACCATGGTTAAGGGCTTTAACCAACCCCCCCTAAAAAAAAGAAAATGATTTAGGGATATAATGACGTCATGGTTAAGGGCTTTAACCATGAGTTAAAAGTGATATAATGACGTCATAGTTGGGTTTAATGGGGGTTTGGTAGTAATCGTAACATCTTAAAAAATTTTGCGGTAGTAATTCACAACTTTTTTAATTTGCGGTAGTAATTTACAAAGTAGTATTAACTTGCGTAGTAATTGGCAAATTTTCCTATATATTATATACTCTATGACAGATCAAGATGTATGTTTGAAATTGTACTAGCTAAAACGATGTGCTAGAGACTTCATGTTGCCAAAAGAATTTAGAATGATACCTTAACTTGCAAGTAATTATTGGAAAGATCAAGACATGAAAGAGCATGCAAAATTTTCAAATAATACACTTGGAAGTTGACCTTCAAGTTTATTACTATGAAGATCAAGATTTGAAGAGAAATTGTTATATATATACAATATACTTGCACTCAGGTAGGTGCACGGTCCATTCAAGGATACAATTTCTCATTTAGATAACGTGTTTATTTAATCATCAAGAAAAACTAACATTGAGTAACTAGGCATGCATGAGTACGAGTGTGGATTCCACTCACATTGAACATCCATTTAATCAATATTGATGATAATGATGAATCATTCATCAAATTATTTTCATAAAGCCCAAGAATAATAGAAAGGGTAACCTTTTATTTATTTTTGAAATATAGCTGGAAACTAGCATAGTGCACGTGTGATGCACGGTTTATAAATCAAACTATTAAACCCGTAGGAAAAATAAAAATAAAAACAAAGGTAATTCATTTACTTTTAAAGGACTTGGTTACTAATGGTCAATAAAAAAAAAATTAAAGGAACGTAATTTGAACAATATTTTATGTTATTTGAATTTCTTTTAATTTTTTATAATGTTATTTTATTAATTGAAAATAATTGAATAATACTCCACATAGCTATATAAGAAGTGGACTAATTTATTTATATCTCCCGTTGAAAAAAAACTAAAATTTTCTTATCATACCATCTGCATCAGTAGCTACAATCAATCTAATATATACATGATTTATTTACCCGTCGCACTCATTAAAACTATAGACACAATAATAACCTTATATTTGACCTACCAGAACATATATTTTCCTAAGTTAAGCATTGTGCCAAAAACTATATATTATATAATAGTCATATATATAACCAACAGCTGATTAAATATAGTATATAACACAAATACTTCGTATATAGGTATGGATACTAATCTGATAATTTTATATAAATAAAATATACGGAGTATATATTACTAAAATTTATCCCTACATTAATTATAAAATGGTTAACAAAACTCTTATAATAGTGCATGGACATTTATATATCTAAAAATGTTCTTTTAACATATATTTTCCCCCATTTAATTTTAAAGCCTTAAAATTGTCTCTTGAATTCGCTAAATTGATTTAAAAGCTTATGTTTATTTCAATATTTAAAGCCATTTACTATTTTCATTTCCTTTTGTTTTAATTTATCTATTTAGAATTTATTAGACTATTAGGTTTCAAGATTGAAGTCAATATCTTTTTAGCATACAATCACTAAATCAAAGTCGCTCAACTAAAGTTTTGGACATTGCATAGCTACACAACATCCAACACATTTAATGATTACATGCAAATAATTTTAATAAAACTACGTATTCGATATAAGTTATTAAACAATTTAACTATATATACATTTTGATAGGTTTATATCTTTCATATTAACAAAAATTTACAAATGTTATTATTATATTTTGAAAAAAAAAATTAGACTTTGGAGTTTTGTATAAGATAGATAAAGGATAAGTTACTTCCCGTTATATATGCATTGAGTTTTGGGTGTTCTATCCGGTTCACCTTTTGGACTAATCCAGATTTGAGGATCTGTTCTAGGCTATTAGGTTCCACTCCCCTTCCGATTGTTATTGCAGGGGAGCGAACACAGGTCCTCCCTACCAAGTGTACTCTCAATCACCACTACACCAATAACTAAACACTTTGTATGGAGGACACGTGTTATAAAATATTATATTATATGCACATACTATTATAGTTAAAAGTATTATTATGTATAAAACAATATAAATTATTGCACACGATTGTTGTATATCTAGTATAGTACATGAGCAATGCACGATTTTTAAATCAAAATGTTAGTTTTTCTAAAAAAAATTCATAAGTAATAGCATTGTTAATACGAATATTACAATTTAAAGCACGAGTAATAGTTATAATACATTTTATATCTATCCCTTTTCCGTCAAATGTCTAATTCAATTTAACTTTTATTCTTCTTGTTTTGATTGGTTATTGGTTCAGTTTTTTTTTTTTTTTTTTATTGCAAGAAAAACAAAAGGTCATTGTGAAAGACGTTGTATAGAAAATGAAAGGCCGATTAAAATTAAATTTATGTTCAAGATTATGTATTTTTTTTCCAAGACAACATTTCGGCCCAGCATTCAGTATTTGTCAAGGAGCACAATAAACGATAAAAGTAATTTTTGCACTATTTTGTATCTTTATCAAAAACTTTTGTATTCATCCGATTACTTGAATTGAATTTAGGATAATTTGTAAACTATTTTGGGTAACTTTTATCAATAAAGCATAAATAAATAACTTTCATTCATTACCGGGTAGCTTTTATAATAGGTGCACAATATTTTATTGTACATCTGATTTTTTTAAATGTTTGTATTGATTTTATAATTGACGTCAAACTAAATTCTTATCGATTTTATTTAATTTTAATAAAAAAAATATTAGTCTTTCAAAATACAAAATATTTGTTTCCTTAATTATGCAATTTTAATCATATTGCTTCAAATTAGTTATTATTCTTTAACTTGACTATAAATAAAGATTGGAAAGACTTTATGGATTATTTGTAGTATTGAAAAGTATACATTTATTATAAAAAAATTTAATCAATATTTATGTTAGGAAATCATGTAAATCTTATGCATGTATAGAAACTTGCTTTTATTGTTTGAAGTTTAACAAAAATAACTATGCTTGAATATGTAAACAATAATTATATAGATATATTTAATACTTAAGATAAGCCAATGAGAGAGTGACATTTGTCATCCTCACATTGAGGCACTTGTCTTTTAGTATAATATATAGATAGATAGATTCTGGTTTTTTAGTTTGGAAAATTCAGTAACCAAATTAAGACTGCAAGAAGATTGCTTGGAATGTATTGAGATAGGAATATATTGTGATATGATATTATGAGAATAATATCATATGAGATATGATTGTGAAAAGATATATGTCATATATTATGATACATTTATGAAGTTAAGATAATTAGGAATATTAGGGTTAGATATTCCTAGCTATTGTCTATATATATTGTAATGTGATCGAATATGAAAGATGGAAAAATACAATGAGAAAATACATAGAACTATTTTCCCCAATATTTAACATGGTATCAGGAGCCTAGGGAGATCCTGGGATGAAAACACGAGAGTTCGTGTGGGAGAATGAGAGAACCTTAAACACGAGAGTTTGTGTGAGAGGAGAGAATGAAAAAAAACCCTAAATCACGAGAATTCGTGTGAAAAAGAGGGAAAACCTTAAACACGGGAGATCGTGTGAGAGGAGAAGAAAAAAAATATGACGGGTTCGAAATGAAAGACGTTCTTGTTGTATTGATTGATGGGTTCGAAAAGAATGGCGTTCTCATCAAGTGAGAGAATAAAATAATCTTAAACATGAGAATTCGTGTAAGATGAGTGATTAATTGCACGCATTATTCATTATTGCGTTCAATATAGTGAGATTGTGAGAGTTCATAATTTTTTTTTTATAAGTATACGTTATTTTCATAATTAACGTATAATAATAGTGTGAGAATTAATTGTGAGAGTTCACAATTAAATTTTTTGTTTTTTTATGAGGAATTGATTTTTTGTAACCATCTTTATCATAGTGAAATTTGATGATTTTAATGAAGATGAAGAACGTGGTATGATCATGTTCAAGTTCAAGAGGATTGTTTTTGTGATTATTCGAAGGCGGATGATTACATATTGCGGCTTGATGACATGATGCAGATTTTATTTTTTTGTCCAAATCGAACGTTTCGAAATCTACACCTCCGACTTGAGGGAGTGTATTGAGATAGGAATATATTGTGATATGATATTATGAGAATAATATCATATGAGATATTATTGTGAAAAGATATATGTCCTATATTATGATAGATTTATGAAGTTAAGGTAATTAGGAATATTAGGGTTAGATATTCCTAGTTATTGTCTATATATATTGTAATGTGATTGAATATGAAAGATGGGAAAATACAATGAGAAAATACATAGAACTATTTTCCCCAATATTTAACAGAATGTTTATACAATTTTTTTTTATTCCAAAAGAAAAAAAAAAAAACAATGTTATAGTAAGACATATAACTAAATGGCAGCTTGGGAGTTGATATTATAGTCTATCCGAGGACATTACAAGTTTACAACATATATGTACAACAATATATACACTAATATATTATATAAATATACAATTTTTAATTATAGGATATTTTAGCTAATCAGAATAATCTGTTAATAACTAAATGGCAGCTTAGGAATGGATATATGATGCTTTTATCTCTTCCTAATTTTTCTCTACATAATTGTCTGAAAATTTTCTTATCATTACTTGTTCAATTATAAAACTTAAATATTTCATATTAGTTACAAAAACTTTTTTTTTCCCAATTATATTCAATTTACTCATTATTTAAAGTTCAAGAAAATGGGTATATTTCAAAATAAACAAATAACACTCATTTTCTTGATTCTTATTATTTCCTTAAGTATGCTTACCAATTGCAAAAGTTATGGAGCAGAAGAAGAAATAGCAAATTTTGTGTTTGGAGATTCAAACGTGGATGTAGGAAACAACAACTATATTGTGTCCCTTTCTAAGGCGAATAATGTGCCTTATGGTATCGATTATGGAGGACCGACGGGAAGATTTACCAATGGACGAACCATTGTTGACATTCTAGGTAAGTTTTACATTGTACAATTTCTTCCGTTCTTATATCGTGTTCCTTCGATTTTAAGACCGTCTTATTCTCCAAAAACCTCTTGTCTTCACGAGTTTATTGGAGAAATGAGTAGGGTAAGGCTCAATCTCCGACTTATATCATTAATCATTGATACATACACACATTTTTTTTTTCATAAACCCCCTTTTTTTTTGCGAGTTTATAGAAAAAATGAATAAGGTAAGGCTCAATCTCAGACTTACATTAATAATCATTGATATGTACAAAAAAAAAAATTCATGAACCCCTTTGTTTCGCGAGTTTAATGAAAAAATGAATAGAATTAGGCTCAATCTCTGACTTATATTCATCATTTGTTTTTTTGACGGAGACTTATATTCATCATTGACATAAAAAAATAAAAACATCTTTTTAATTATTATTTTTTTTACTACCATGAATCCGATCCCTTGTTTTCCCGAGTTTATTGAAAAAATGAATAGGCTAAACCGCTAAGGCTCAATCTTGACGAATGATGTACTTGTATAGCAGGTCATTTGAAAAATATTATCGGTTCATTATTTTATGTTATAAAATGGCCACAATTAGTCTTAATTATCTACAATGTAAATATAAATTTCAAAACTTTTAATCCAACATAAAATAAATATTTTTTGAGAAACTATGAAATAAGAATAAAATTTACATAAATGAAATTAAAAATTTGATAAATAAAAAATACGTTGATAATACTATTTAATTACATTAATAAAGTAATATAATTAATTATTTGGAAAAAAATCTTTCAATTATAAACTATATAATCATTTAAACATTATTATGATAGTCATATTTCAAACGACTACAATAAAATTTCAAAAAAACATCAGTATATTACATGTACTGGCCTAGTAAATAAGTATGGTAAACATATGGTAAAACATTTAACTATTTGTCCATTTATATTTATAATATGAAATCTTGTACATTTATTTTTACTAGTGTCGTTTATTTTTGACATAATTTTTTATATATTTTATTTTATGCTGGATTTAGCCCAAACACTAGGTAAATTTGGACAAAGCCCACCATACTTGGCACCAACAACAACAGGGAGTGTGATTTTAAAAGGGGTCAATTATGCTTCTGGTGGTTCAGGCATTCTCAACGAGACTGGCTCCAGTTTTGTAAGACCACCCCTTTTTTTTTTACCCGAGAATTAAAAAATGCGACAATTTTTTTTTCATACATTGTAACATAAAAATGGACGTTTCAATTATATAATTTTAAAATAAGAAGAATATATGTACTAATGTGTAACCATGTCACGTATGCTAGGTTGGGAGGATAAATTTTGATGCGCAACTAGATTATTTTGCAAACACAAAGCAAGATATCATCACTCAAATAGGAGAAGCAGCAACAGAAGAGCTAATGAATAAAGCCTTCTTTTCAATTGTAATTGGCGCCAATGATTTCCTCGCTAATTACTTAGTTCCGGATATTATCAAAGGCCATCTGTCGATGACGCCTGAAGCATTCATAGATACCATGGTATCTAAATTTAGACTACAACTTACGGTAAGACATTCTGCAATAACCTTATCTATCATTATTTAGGACACACATTAAGTCAAATTTAAAGTAGTAAAGTAATCTTAGGGTGCATTCTATATTTCTATTCACCTGATTTTTACTTATCTGAACTTAATTATCTGATTTTATTTTAACTTATCTTAACTTAGTTGAGTTTATCTGAACTAATCTGAACTTATTATTAGCCGTTATTATAATTAATTTAAGTTATAAATTGAACTTGGGTAGCCCTGATTAACCCTTATTACAACTTATTTGAACTTATTTTTCCTAAACTTATCTTATCTGAACTTATTAACCCTTTTATGAACTTATTAACCCTTATATGAACTTATCTGGAAATAAGGTGAATAGAACCGGACCTTTGTAACGAGTAATTAGAAACTAACCCCTCTTCAATGGTGGTTCTACAATGTTTTCTTTAAAAGAAGTACCAATCTATAAACCTATACTAAAAGCAAATCCTTCCATGACACTTGTCATGACCTTGTGAAAAAATTTCCCGCCTTTTACCTTTTTTTTTTCCTCTTTTTTTGCAAAATTTATAAGTAAACTATTTATACCTTATGATATTTTCTTTCCACTTTAACAATTATATTTCATATATACTCATTAAAATATTTTTGAATATCTTTTATATACTTTATGTAGTATTTTGTAATATTATTGTCAAAAATAGTTAACAATCGTGCATTGCACGGGATTTTAACCTAGTTTAAATCTATCTATAACTAATACTAAAATAGCAACCGCTGACATCATTCTATCCTAAAAGTAGACACATGTTAGGTTGTTATTAAAAAATTTCCCTCCAAAAGTATTTATGATGTCATCATTTACTGAATTTTATTTTATTTAATTCAATTTTGGTAAGCTATATTATTATTAGTTTCAATTTCCGAAAAGTGGTCTATTCTCTATAACAATAATACTTTAATTTTTCTTTCTCATGTACTCCTTTTATCATTCATTTTTTTATATGAGCTCTACTTTAAATTAAAATTTTTTAAAAAGTATTTGATGTTTTTTTAGGAAAATGTTATACATAACACTTAGGGCTACATATAAGCATTAAATTTACACTTGAAAATCGTAAAAAGTTAAAAAATCATCAAAATATAAACATTAATAACACTGATTTACGAGTGTTTTTCTCATAAATTCCTAATTTTATACAATTTCCAAGAGTATATTTAATGCTGATATATAACCCTTAGGGCTACATATAACATTGCCCTTTTTTTAAAACCATATTTGATGTTTGTTTTGAAGATTTTTTTTTTTAAATTATGGTATGAAAAATAAACAATTTTAGAAATTTTTATTTGTTAAAATCGTGCATCGCACGAGTGAAAATTTTATAGTAGTCATCTGAATTATGACTACCATAATGTTTTAATGATTATATAGTTCATAATTAACATATTTTTTCCAACTAATTAATTATATTACTTTATTTTAGGTATAAAATAGTATTATCAACAATTTTTTGATTGATCAAATTTTTAGTTTCATTTATGTAATTTTTATTCTCAGTTTATAGTTTCTCGAAAAATATTTATTTTATGTTGGATTAAAAAATTCAAAAAATATATTTGCATTGTAGATATAATAAGACTAATTGTGACTATTTTATAAGGTGAAAAAATAAACCAATCATATTTGTATATCATTAAAATAATAAGATAGTCATTTTTCAAACGACTACTGTAAAAGCATCCTCGCACGAGAATAGTCTAGTTTATTATTATGACAAGGTGGGATGATCCTATAACAGTTATAATTTTTTTTTTAAATGGATGGTTTAATTAGTTGGTTTTTGAATTTCCAAAATTAATTATTAATTCTGTTTTTATTTTCCTAATTAATTTATTAATTTTTAATACAAAAAAAAAACGATTCTAATTAGTTGATTTAAGCATTTAAAAATCAAGCAATCACAGCCACTATTGTTATATATTTAACTAATGCATGACCTAGTGTAGGAGCACTAGGCCTTTTGGCAAATAAAGTACTTTTTTATAGTAAATTTGTTAAAATAGTATATACAGAGTACAATGTAATATATTATATCATTAACATCGACTTTAATTCAACTACCACATAATTCACGTAAGTTTTTTTATTTTTAATAAATTGACATAAAGAAAACCGAACAACCTAAAAGTTAATATACTAGTCTTTCCATAAGATACAGCTAAATAAATCTCATATTACTCGTATAGTCCTACTAGTTTAAACTACATTTTTCTACTGCGACCGATTACTAATGTACAATTTTTATATAGATCATCATCACTTAAATGCTACTTTTGTACGAGCTAATGTTAATTCATGTGATTTTGAACAGAGACTTTATAACATGGGTGCTAGGAAATTATTAGTGACAAATGTTGGAGAAGTTGGTTGCATACCTTACGAGAGAAACGTAAATCTATGTTCAGGAAATCAATGTGCTGCGTACCCTAATGAACTAGCTCAATCATACAATGTCAAATTAAAGAGCCTTTTTACAGAGCTAAACAACAATCTTAAGGGATCTAAGTTCGTTTATGGAGACGCTTACAGCATTTTTAATGAGGTCATCTATCATTACCAGTCTTATGGTACGTTTTTAGATTATCTTGTAAATTGAAAAGTAAAGTTGGACAATTTTATCTTTAATTTGTACATGTGAAATATTTCTAATGTTTGTTACGAAATGAAAATGTGACAGGTTTTGAGAATGTAAATTCACCATGTTGCTCGAATAATCCTTGGGATAAATCTAGAGGTTTACTTCTCTGTAATCCAAGTGCTAGTGTTTGCAATGATAGATCAAAGTATGCATTTTGGGATCCATTTCATCCAACTGAAGCCATTAATATGATTGTTGCCAAACGTTTGATTGATGGGAATATTAGTTATATTTCACCTATTAATGTTCGTCAATTACTTAACTCTTGATATTCATTGCACTTATTCATACAATATGTACACCATGCTTACGTACCATCTTACTGTTGAAAGAATTTGTGAAACAAAGGAAGTGAAAGTTTAAAATGTGTACACTTGTTTTCAATTAGGGCACTTGAAGGGTAGTTTTGTAATTAGACAGGGCTATTCAAATGTAAATTAAATTTCTTATGCAGTCAAATTACATACTTGTGTAATCCATTTGATATGCTAATTCGTTATTGAATTATAAGTGCTCTTGGTGACGACTTGGTTGATTTATGTATGTTTAATTGTTTATCAAACTTGGTAATAAACTACTTCGTAAATAAAGCAAGTTAGAGCATCTCCAATGTTAAGCTAATCGTTAAATTAGCTTAACATATTACTGTTGAAAGAACTTTGTGAAACAAAAACGCTTGAAGGGTAGTTTAGTAACTAGATAGGGAAATTCAAATGTAAATTTGTTATACAAATTATGTAATTGTGTAATCCATTTGATATGTTAATTCGTTAATATTGAATTATAAGTGTTACTTCCTCTTGGTGACGATCCGACTTGGTTGATGCATGTATGTTTATCGACCTTGCTATTTACTACTTCGTAAATATTATGCCAGTTATAAAAATAAGCATACAAAACTACAAAATCATTTTACATTTGATCTTGATGTAACACAACGTTATGGATACATTTAAAACTTTATCACGAATATGTCATAATAATAATAATAATAATAATAATAATAATAATAATAATAATAATAATAATAATAATAATAATAATAATAATAATAATAATAATAATAATAATAAGTGCATAGAAGGTAACCTAAAAGCTCAACACATTTTTTAATCCTTCTAGAAACAGTAGGAAAAAAAATATATAAACATAGAAATTTCTAGTGATATTTTTTTAGACGGGAATTTCTAGTGATTTTTACAATGTCAGACTAACCCCGTTCTTTAGAGCTGCTCTGCTCTGCTAAAATCAAATCTGCTCTTCTCTATTCTGCTCTATTTTCAAATAATAATTACAATAATAATAATTAATATTCAATAATAATAATTAATATCGTATTGATGATAATAATTTATTATTTTGAATAATTATAATAATATTAATATTAAAAATAATTTTAATAATTATTAATATTAATAATAATTAATATTTATTTTTTTTGACAAATAATTAATATCTATTAATCATAATAATAATTAATAATAATAGTTATCATTATTAATAATTAATAATTTAAACTATTAAGAATTAATATTTAATAATATTATTAATTAATAATTTCTAATAATTATAACAATTCTTTCAAATAAATAAATAATAATAATAACAATTAATAACAATTTCTTTTATAAACATTTGATATTAGAATCACATTTTGTAAAAATATTATATGTATGTGGGTATTGATTGTTAGTTCATTGAGTTAATCATTATTACTCCTCATTAAATCGTTTTATTTTAAAAATTTTGTGCAATAAATATAAGTAAACCTATTATTATAAGTAAATCTTCTTTGAGGATAAATTAAAGATCTCTAACTTGAGACAGTTACATGCTCCGATCCTTACAGCATTTGATTAGAAAACTTAATTTATACTCCGTATTATTATTTCAATGTGGTACTCCCTCCGTCCCTAAATTACATTCCTCCTTTCTATTTTTGGTATTCCAAAATTACATTTTTCCCTTCTATTTTTGGTAAGTTTTTTTTTAGTAAATCAACTCTCTTTTTCTATTTTATATATAATGATTCCTCACTCATCCTTACCTAATCTCACTCATAATCCTTGTGCCAAATTACAATGAATATGATTGGTTAAAAAATTTCAATTAGGAGCATGTGATTGGTCCTTTTTTTTTTGCAAAAGATTGATGACATGTCATGAATAATAACTAATCTATCTTTGTACTTCTCATTGCATTATCTAATTATTGTTATTTGTTTCTTTCCTCCTTAATTCCCGTGTAAATTTCCAAAGAGAAATATAATTTAGGGATGGAGGGAGTATTAATTAAAGAGGAGCAAACTCCCAATACTCGCATATATATCGACGTGCCACATCAACAACACCATTCTATAATAGAATTTTTTTTTTTAATAATTATTTGTAAATCTCTCAATCGATGAAGCTAACACGCCTCATTCTATTGGGAAAAGGGAAAAAATTTATCAAATGAATTTTTTTTGTTTTGTTTTTTGGAATGGCATCAAATGAAAACTTAAACACAATCAAATGAATAGTTAGTTGCACATAAATCGATATTTCTTTATACCAAAAATGTGGCACTTAAAGTTAATTGTTTTGCCAATTTCAAGTTCAATCAGGATTTCTATGAATTAAAACCACGCCCTAAAATCTTAATGGTACATTTTCAACACGCAAATGGAAGAAAAAATTTAATGGATGACCACAAACGGAACCCTAACGAAAACACCTAAGTGGTAACAAAATAAAAATAAAAAAAAAAATTTAAATTTATACTTCCCCGTTAGAAAACTTGCACTATTCCCTAAAAAGGAAATGTCACAATACTTGCAACACACTATAAATGGAAAGTTACTTTAGGAAAAAACTATACTATTTCCCTTATTTAAAGCACATGGCCCACTAAATTACACTCCTAAGAACCACTCATCCTATTTTAAAGTTTATTATATCAGGTAAACCCCACCTTTCTTAATTACCGCGCTAAAGGGTGTGTTGTATTTAAAAGAAAACGGAGGAAGTATGTTTTTATTAATAGTAAAATGAAATTTTAAATATGTAACAAAAGTGAAGGTAGTGCTTTTTAGTGGTTGTAAAAATCAATTTTTTTTTTTTAAAAAAAAGACATATATTAGGGTTTGTTTTCATTGACTGAACTCAGTTGAACTGAACTGAACTGAACTGAACTGAACCGAGCTGAACTGAAATGAATATTTTATAAGAGAAGGAAATTAGGAGCTGAACTGAACTGAACTGAACTGAACTGAATTGAGATGAACTGAACTGAACTGAACTAAACTGAACTGAACTGAATTGAACTGAACTGAATTTCAACGTAAGAGAACAGGCCCTTAAAATCTCTTTTTTTTTGACACAAAAATCTCAAAATTTGATACTAGAACCTTAAAATATGATATTAGAAAGTCAAAAATTCAATTTACTACCTCCGTTTCATATTATCTGCAACTAGACATTTTTCCTCTCTACTTTATGTCAAATCGTTGCAAATAATATGTAACGGAGGTAGTAAAAGAGTTAAAATCTGATGCTCCCAGACTCCCACCATTCCTAAATAATTAAAAATCAAACTTGGCAGTTGGCATATATGTTAATATACTATTTTGACCTTATACTTGTACAAATTTAATATTACTCCTTTCTGCTTTCATATTATATTTTAACATAATTGTGTCATAATGTTATGTACTACTTATTACAACAATAATTTTATTTATTTTTATTTAATTATTAATTATATGTTAAAAAGCTCTAAGAAAGTAATTTGAATTTCAAATATTTAAAAAATAGATAGAATAAAAGATTTGATGTTTCTACAAATAAATATTAACAACTATAAATTTAAGAGAAAAAAAAACAAGTTTTTAACATAATTTGTGACATACATAGTAACCATAGAGTGTAATGTACGACGTTTTAAGAAATCCGGTTAACAACAAGGAAAAATAAACCAATTTTTGATAAAATTAAGATTAAATATATAGTAATATATATATTGTCAAATGCTTTTTAAAAATAGGTATCTGGCTAATAGGCCCTTTTATAATAATTAATTATAGGGTCTTTTCGAATGAATTTATTACTCCATATAATATTTTAGAAAAATTCATTGTTAATTTAAAAATAGTTATTAAAATTTACTGTTAGATTGTAAGTTTTGCATTGAGGGAACTGTATATGTTATTTGATCTCAATCGTATGGCTACACCAATTAAGTTATTTGATGGATTTAAATCTATTATATATTATAATCATTTTAATATATTTATTAATTGACAATTGAATATATTCGTATTTAATATCTAACAATTTAAGTTTCTAAATTTCCTAAATTTCAAAAATAATGAAATATATGTGTTTAATTTCTAATTAACATTTATAATTAACATTTTTTTTATTAAATCGCAGAATCTAGGTTTTCTAAATTCCCAAAACGTTGAAATAAATGGTATAACGTCACTCGATAGTCAATTGTATCATATTGTTATCAATGGTTGTCAAAATGTGAAAGTGCAAGGGGTTACGATTTCTGCTTCAGGTCATAGCCCAAATACTGATGGCATTCACGTACAATCGTCAACTGATGTTACAATATTGAGTTCTTCAATTGCTACCGGTGATGATTGTATCTCAATTGGCCCGGGAACTAAAAAATTTGTGGATTCAACATATTGCTTGTGATCCCGGTCATGGCATAAGTATTGGGAGTTTGGCAAAAACTTTATATGAGCCAAAAGTGTACAATGTCACAATACAAATGTCGACTTTCACTAATACGGAGTATGGAGTGAGAATCAAGTCACGGGGAAGGCCAAGTGATGGATTTGTAAGCAAGGTTGTATTTCAACATCTCACGATGGAGAATGCTCGAAATCCAATCATTATTGACCAAAAATATTGCCCCAATAACCAGAATTGTCCAAGAGAGGTATATTAAATTGTATTTTTATTAAAAATTCGAGTTTTTATTTCAAATATTTGTAAAACCTTTTAACGATTTTTCTTATCTTTATTTTGTGAATATGATTTCGCGGTGAAAATAAGTGACGTGACATATGACGATATTCATGGGTCATCAGCAAGAAGTTTGATTGTAACCCAATGCATCGTTGTTCGGGCATAAAGTTGAAGAATATAAATTTGACTCACAAAAACAAACAAGCTTCTTCTTTCTATAGCAATTGTGAGAGATCAACTTTTGGGAATGTCCAACCTGAAAGTTGTTTCGAGTAATCTAGTAGTTTAATTTATTTATACTTTTTGAT